CCCCCATTGCAAAGGCATCTCCCTGGGGCTGTTACCTAACACTCCCCCCATTGCAGACCTGCCTCCCCCCATTGCAAATGCATCTCCATGGAGCTGTTACCTAACATTCCCCCCCCCTGCAAACCCCCCATTGCAAATGCATCTCCCTGGGGCTGTTCTCTGACATTCCCACCATTGCACACCCGCCTCCCCCATTAATACTGGAGTCTGCCCTGCTCCACCCATTGCAAACCTACATCATCCACTAATAATATGCCTGCCCCTAGCAGCTGCCCCTTATTTCAACTGTAAACCTAGCTGCCTCCCTCACCTTGGCTAGCAGCACCTCTGCCTCCTTCCCTTTCAAAGTCTCCCCTCCCCCCCACTTCCTTTGAGACTGCTCCTTGCCAGTTCATCCCATTGCAAGCCCAGCTGGCCCCACCCTGCATCTTGTAAACTCAGCTCTCCCCTTCCTTCAGCTGCTTCTTGCAGTTCTACCCATTGCCCAGCCTGCTCAAGGGGGTGTACCCTCCATCCACACATTCTCCCATATGTCCAGCCCATACAACCAGTGCCTGTGTATAATCTGTCTGCTCCAATTCCGGTCCCCTGGGACATGACAGGGTAGGAGGGTTGGCGAGTGTTTTTGTCTTCCCGTTCTGATTGGGCGAAACAATGGGGAACAAAGAGTTGTGCATACGAGCCAGCTTTGCAGACTTCCCCTGAGAACAATTCCATTGGGCCTTGGCAATTCTGATCAAAGACCTTGACTCCATGTAATTTCACGCCTGTTCACCTGGATTATTCATGGGGAAAAGAGGCGGGCTGCAGGGTGCCAAGCGAGCATCTGGTGCCAATCTGAATGGTAGAGATCTGAAATGTTAAATGTCTCCCTGGCAGCCTAGAGCAAAATCCATCTTCCTGATACAAGACTGGGAGTCAGGAGTTTTTAATTTTCTCCCTGGCTCTTCACAGAGTATAATTCTGGCCAAGTAGGACTGTTTGTAGGTGCCCAGTCTGGACCCTTCAGAGGGGCTGAACCCCCACAAGTCTGTTTAAGGTAGGAGCCCTCAGCACCTGGGAAAATCAGGGTTGGCCTGTCTCACATTTGGCACCCAAAATCAGTGGCTGCTTTTCAGTATGGTGACTTGCAAAATGTGGCACGCTGGCACGCTTCCTGAGGAATTTGTAAATATCAATTCCCCATGGGGAGGACGCCCACTGACTTCATGGGCTTTGTACCAGAGGCGGATGGTTGAAAAGTGTTTTGCATGAGTGGTTGGTGAAGGCAGAGCTGGGGGACACAAGCCTCCAGCCCAGCCCCTTCTGCTGATGCCCTGCTCCCTCCCCACCCACCCCCCATGGGGATGCAGGCCAGGGCACCACGTGTGTGCTCCCCCTCCCAGCACAGGGAGGAGAGGGGAGCAGGTGGGTGCATGGCCTCTGGTCCAGGAAGGGAGTAGGGCAGAGGGTGCCCAGCATGGCCCCAGTCCCCCCCAGCCCCAGAGGAGGGCGGAGGCCACGCAGTGTGGCCCCAACCCCGGAGGAGGATGCTCCCCGTAGCCCAGCCCAGCCTCTCCAGCCCGGGAGGAGGGCGTGCCACATGGCTTGGCCCAGCCACTCCAGCACCAGAGGAGGGAGAGGAGGGCCCACTACGTGGCGCTGTCCAGCCTCTCCAGCCCTGGAGAGGTAGAAGGGTGGAAGGCACATGGCATGGCCCCAGGCCCGGAGCGCTGGGGTAGGGAGGAAGGCGTGCCGCCCAGCCACGGAGCACCAGGAGGGCAGGCACTGGGAGCAGCAACACCCCACCTCCAGAATGCCGACAGCAGGCATTCTGGGGCACGGCATGTGGACGGGGCAATGCCTGGAGGTTTGGGAAGACAAAGCCTTCCCTCGCCTAATATATTGGATGGCCATGTTTGTGAGCCTCAGAGGAAAGACATTCTATACAGTCATGGCAACATATATGACTCTAGGGAGTCTCAGAGGGGTAGCTGCGTTAGTCTGTAACTGAAAAAACTTAAAAAACCACGAATGGCCCTGGAGCACCTTAGAGACTGAGGGTATGTCTACACACTACGGAGACTTTTCGGAAACACGCCTGTTTTTCTGAAAAACTTCAATTACGTCCACACTGCTAGCGCGTTCTTCCGAAAGAAAATCGAAAGAACAGAGGGGTTTTTCCAGCCTTGGTAATCCTTATTCTACGAGGAAGAAGCCTTTTTCCGAAAAAGCTCTTTTGGAAAAAGGCGTGTGTGGACGGGGAAGAGGGAGTTCTTTCAGAAGAAGAGGAAGAAGAAAAAGCACAGGTGCTCCGGTGGTCACTCCGTCCATAGTAATCACAGCTGAAATGCGAGAGAGCATTCATTCAGTGTAGATGCTCTCTTTCGAAAAAGCAGATCGCTTTTTCAATGTGCTTTTGCAAATGTGGACACTCTCTTTCGGAAGAAGTTTTTTTTGGGAAGATCTCTTCCGAAAAAAGCTTCTTCCGAAAGAAACCTGTAGTCTAGATGTAACCTAACAAAAAATGTAGATGGTACAGTAATTCCTCATTTAACACGTGCCCGCTTAACACGTTTTCGTGATAGCACGATTTTTTTTTTAGGGAACGTTTTTTGAATTACACGACCATCCCTGGATTAACGTTGCCGTTGCCGGCGGCTTCCCCCGCCTCCCTGCAAAGCGGCGGAGGGTTCACTGCTTGCTGCATCATTCCCTGGCTACCCACCCCCCTCGCCAAACATAGTGTGGGTCCCGGCAGACCCATCATAGGGGCATACTCCCAACCCAAACTTCTCTCCTCTCCTCTCCTCTCCTTCCCTTCCCCAGAGCCAAACACCTCCCCTCCCTGCTGTAACCCAGTCCCCTTTCTCCCCCAACCTTATGTCCTTGTCCCAACAGACACCACCGCTTGAAATGCAACCCACACCTTTTCCATTATTTTCAATGGTAAACTTCACCCCGCATAACACATTTTCACTTAACACGATCATTTTCTGAAACATATCTATAGTGTTAAATGAGGAATTACTGTACCATGAGCTTTTGTGGGCACAACCCACTTCTTCAGATGAATTGAGCAAGGGGTCCAGAGATACAATTAAGCAGCAGAAAAAGAGGATGAGAAGGGGGAAAAAACCTTGTCAATCAGAGTGTCCCTGCTAAACGAGGCTAATCGAGTGGGCTGCAAGTGCCTGGTACTTAGGGTGTTGAATGTAACGGTCCATCCAGTTCAGTTCTTTGTTCAAACCTTGATTAAAGGTGTTAAATTTGCAAATGAAGGCAAGTTCTGCAACTTCTCTCTCCATCTGGTTTTTGAAATTGCTTTGTAATATAGTCACTTTTAGATTCATTGAGTGCCCGGGCATTTGAAAATGTTCCCCAACGGGTTTCTGCATGTTACCATTTCAAATATCTGGTGTGTGTCCATTCATCCTTTGTCGTAGAGACTGTCCAGTTTGGCCAACATACATGGCAGAGGGGCATTGCTGGCACTTGATGGCATAGATCACATTGGTGATTCTAGGGCAGGGGTGAAGAATCTTTTTTGGGTCGGGGTCGCTGACCCACAGAAAAATCAGTCGGGGACCACACACAAGTGAGAAGCAACAATCCCCTCCCAAACTCTCACTGATGTGGCCTCTGACTGAGAAGGAGAAAGACACTCCCCACATTCTAGTAGCACGCCAGAGCCTAGTGGGGTCCAGGCTTGTAGATTGTGTGCTCCAGCCCCACAGGCTCCCCAATGCTGGGGGGAGTCCTGAGCCTCAGGGGTCGGATCCAGTTAAGCCAGGGGCTGCATCTGGCCTGTGGGCTTTAGATTCCCCACTCCTGTGTGAGGGATATTATTTAAAAATATAGCTTCCCTTCCCAAAGTCCAGATTCTGCTTTTGCACAAAGACCGTAGTGAAGATTTAACTAATTCACATTTTTTAAAGTTTTAAAAGATAGTGAACAGAGATGGCGCAATGGCCATTCCACACGTACATCAGGCCCTTTGTTGAAATGAATATCAAATGAGCGCAACTTGGCAGATTGGAATGCTGGACAGTTTTCAGTTCTTCATTTTCCATTCAGCACTGGCCAGGCAAAACAGATTACTTCCCCTTCACTGATTTCCTTTTCTTATCAAATTATTTATCTTTGAATGGGGTTTCTTCTGAAACAACCCATCCCAGCTAACAATGCTTTTCACTGGTACTGCATAGCACTTGTTATGTAAGGATTTCAAAGTGCCTTACAAATTATCATTTGGCCACCCAAGCCCTATTGGGAAACTATCTATCTATCTATCTATCTATCTATCTATCTATCTATCTATCTATCTATCTATCTATCTATCTATCCTAAAGGGTTTTCTGAGGCACTTAGCACCATAGTATAGATAGGGCTACGTCTAGACTGCAAGCCTCTTTCGAAAGAGGCTTTTTCGAAAGATACTTTTGAAAAAGCCTCTTTCGAAAAAGAGCGTCTAGACCGCAAGCAGTACTTTCGAAAAAGCAAGCCGCTTTTTCAAAAGAGAGCACCCAGGCAGTCTGGAGGCTCTCTTTCGAAAAAGCCCCGTTTGCATTCAAGAACGCCTTTTTTCGAAAGAGCACTTTCGAAAAAAGGCGTTCTTCCTCGTGAAAGGAGGCGTACCGCCGTCGAAAGAAAAGCTGCGTTCTTTCGATTTAATTTTGAAAGAACGTGGCTGTAGTCTAGACAAAAAATTGTTCTTCTTGGCCTCTGAGGACAGGACAAGAAGCAAGGGGCTTAAACTGCAGCAAGGGAGGTTTAGGTTGGACAGTAGGAAAAAGTTCCTAACTTTCAGGGGGGTGAAACACTGGAATAAATTGCCTAGGGAGGTTGTGGAATCCCCATCACTGGAGATATTTAAGAGCAGGTTAGACAGACATCTCTCGGGATGATCTAGCGGTCCTTGGTCCTGCTGTGCGGGCAGAGGACTGGACTCGATGGCCTCTCGGCTCCCTTCCAGTTCTAGTGTTCTGTGAGTCTATGACTTACTTACAGGTTAAAGCAGGCAACATATATGCATAAATGAGTTAGTCTGTGGGTCCAAAAGGCAGCAGAGATGCCGCAGTCTGTCCACTGAATGTCTTTTAGGGCTATCCCGACCCAAGCAGCATGAGGGTCTCTCTGTTTATGTTTAGGAATCTTTGCACCTCCGGACAGCATAACAAGGCTCCAGACAGCATAACAAGGATTGTGTATTTTCCTGGTCAGGGACTTTTATCCCCTTCGCTCCAGACTCCAAATGGATTGGATGAGTACATGCATAGGTCTCTTCTTCCTGCAAGGAGCCAGGAATGCAATCAACAGAGCCTGTCTCCTTTGATACTACACAACCTAGTAGAGCTTTGTTTATTTGACCTTCCATTATCTGGCTCCCAATATTAACCAATCCACCAGCGCACACAGGAGCAGAAATGGGTGATCTTTCCCATGGCTACTACATAGAGCTGCAGCCTCACACTTTCCCTTCCCAATTTTTGGTTATCCAATATGGCCCTGGTTCCTATTAGATTAGATGAACAGGGTTCTGATATACATCATTTGTAGGGTTGCCACTAAACACAGGAAAACAAACACCTTTGCTCTGCCCTCTGCACTGCCCCTTCTCTGAGGCCCCGCCTTGCCTCACCTCTGAAGCCCCGCCCCCTTACTCCATCCCTCCCAACCTCCATCACTTGCTCTCCCCTACCCTTGCTCACTCACTCATTTTCACTGAGCTGGGGCATGGGATTAGGGTATGCAGGGGAAAGGGGAGTTCTGGGATGAGGGTGCAGGCTCTGGCGTAGGTTCAGGGTTGAGAGGTTTGGAGTACAGGGGGGCTCCAAGCTGGAGGTTGTTGTAAAGCAGGCTTTTTCTGTCCATGGCCTTCACGTATAGCCCATCCTGCCACACAAGGCCCCTCACAGAAAACCCAGACTGTGAGATACTCAGAGAAGCATGGAAAGCACAATGCAGTTTTCTGTGAACGGAATTTGACCTTACAGGCATCCTGAAACTCACAGGCACCAGAAAACAGGGAGGTGAGCATGACTAGATAGCGCCTAGCTGCACTTACAGATAAGCCTCATTTGACCATAGCTGGACCGGTCTTAGAGGCAAGAGAAAAAGAAAACATAGGGTAATAAAACACAACTGTCTCACACTAACCATGCCCCATCTAGTCCTGTCCACGAAGGGATCACGCATACATCACGAAAACTCCTATAGGGCAGTATTGTCATACTACCTCATCACTAGCCTATTAGGCCCTGCCAAATGCAGACCCTAGCATGGCATTAGACATCGAATTTTGGTATAAAAGACCCTCAACCCCTTTGTTCGATGGAGGTTCCATGTATTGAGGGCATGTGTCTTTTTTTGCCCGGCTAAAGGATTGATCACCCTGAGGCTGCCTCCCCACCCTTCGAGTCAAATATAGGGGTGCGTGAGTCCTGAGCATGCTCCGAGTTCTAGTGTGTCTTTGTGTTGTTATTGTTGCTGGATTTGTAAGTATTGCTTAAATGTATTGGTTAATTAATAGTTAAATTGTGTTAATTTCACTGTGTAATTCTGTAACATGTATCTAAGTTCTGTTAACCACACTGTGTAAATTGTATAATTTTGTGTTGTGTAGTAGTGTTGTATTTAGGTAAAGTATAAGTGTTAGAAATAGAAGCCCAGGAGTTGTTAAGTTGTAAAAGTAGATTTATGACTAACTCCACCAGCTGCCCTAAAATAACCATAGAGGGGCTGGCTTTGGACAGAGCTTTTATTATCATTATATTGTCTTTGTTTTTGTATTTTTTGTTAAGCAAATTAGAGACAGTGATTTGGTATAGTTGAATTGTAATCAAAGAAGTTTGTAATTAGTTAAGTACAGCTAAGTTTAGGGTTTTCTACCCTGTAAAAGCATTAGGCAATTGCTAGTTTAAAAAAACTATTTGTTAATTGTTAGTTTTGATAAAAAAAAAATCATTCCACTTAATAAAAATAATTTGTTTCACCATCATCCAGTAGTTTTCACTGGGTAGTCAGTTTTAGCCCTTAAGGCTCCCATCACATCACAGAACCAAAGTGTAACAGAGGTGAGGGCTTTGGAGTGCAGGATGGGGCTTGTGGACTCCAGCAGGGAATTGAGTGTGAGCTGGGGCAGGAGCGTGGGGCGCAGGGGGGGTTTTGGGGTGCAGATTCCGGGCAGCTGTGGCTGATGCAGTTTGTGGGCATTCTGGGAGGCACTGAGGTGGCCCCTTAGCAGCTGCACCAGTGCTACCCAGGGACAGAGGAAGGACAGCATGTCTCTCCAACTCCCAGGCAGGGGCATCGGGGGGGGAGGGGGTGTTGTGCATTGTCCCTGCCAGCAGCTGCCAACCCCAAGTGCCAGTTCTGCTGCTCCCGGTGGCCACGTGGAGCCAGCACTTGGGATGGTGCCTAAGGGCAAGGAACCCCCCGACTCTCCCTCCACCTAGCAGCTGGAGGAACAAGCCGCTGCTTTCCGAGAGCCGCATGGAGACAGGCAGGGAGCCAGCCTTGGACCTGCTGTGGCCCACTGGACTTTCAGTAGCCTGATCAGCCAAGTGCCAAGGTTCCTTTACAACCGGGTTGAAAACTGAAATCCAGCAGCCCTACTCTTTTGCCTTCAATGGGTCGTCTTGCCGGACAAGCCCTTTACCTTAAATGTCTGTTTCTTTTCCTGTGTGGCGAGTTATGTAATGACAGCAGTGTACTCTGCAAACAATATGGCTATGTCTACACTGGCATGATTTTCCGAAAATGCTTTTAACGGAAAAGTTTTCCGTTAAAAGCATTTTTGGAAAAGCACGTCTAGATTGGCAGGATGCTTTTCCGCAAAAGCACTTTTTGCGGAAAAGTGTCCGTGGCCAATCTAGACGCAGTTTTCCGCAAAAAAGCCCCGATTGCCATTTTCACGATCGGGGCTTGTTTGCGGAAAACAGTACTGTGCTGTCTACACTGGCTCTTTTGCGCAAAAGTCTTTCGGAAAAAGACTTTTGCCCGAACGAGAGCAGCATAGTATTTCCGGAAAAGCACTGATGATTTTACATGAGATCGTCAGTGCTTTTCCGGAAATTCAAGCGGCCAGTGTAGACAGCTGGCAAGTTTTTCCGCAAAATCAGATGATTTTGCGGAAAAACTTGCCAGTCTAGACACAGCCTATAACTTTACACTATGGGCTGGAGAGGTTTTAAGTGAGATCAATACATGCAGCATCTATTCTTCTCCACGTTACAGCTAATATGTTTTCTTCATGATAACACACAGGCAAGCAAGACTCGTTTTCCATTATGCACTTGTCAGTGTGCAGGGTGGCCAGGGGCCCATGGCGTGAGTTGGCACCTGATCTGCCAGCATCACAATAGTAAAGGCTAGATTGCATCACACCCAAGGTTCATATAGTCCAGTATCTTGGGAAAGTGCTACTGAGAAAAGTGCTGGGGGTGGGTGGGCGTGTACCTTTTAAAAATTGTTTTTACACAACTTTACACATATTTAAATGGCTGCAGAGTAAGAGCCTTCGAAACTCTTCCCCAGAGATTCAATCCCACATTCTCACTTCCTTTCTTTCCTCTGTCTCTCCTTTTCTGGCTTAATTCCACGCCAAGTGATCAAATGGTGATCAGCATCAGAGGGGTAGCCGTGTGAGTCTGAATCTGCAAAAGCAGGTGCCACAGGACTCCTCACCACTTTTGCAAATGGTGATCAGTAATCTTTAACCTTAGCTCTGACCTCTGTTTCTTTAAATCAATGATAAGCACTGTGGTCCTTACAGTAATGTCTAATTTTAATCCTTGTGGCTTCCCACCAATTGTTCTGTACCTGTTTTCTGTAAATGAATACCTTTTCATAGGGTCATTCAAAAAACAAATTAGCCACTCACACATTTCTGATCAAAATCCTCTTCTCTCCCTAGTGCCGAATGTCCTCATTGGTCCAGTCAAACATGGCCCTATACTTCACTTGATGGAATTTCTCCAGCTATAATGGGAGTGTTTTGACTGCTGCAAAACTGGAAAACTCGAGAAGTCAGATTTCTACTGGTGAGGAAAATCAGACCCGGATTGTCCAATTGAGGGCTCTCTGTCATCATCTGCTGCTTCCTACCACATAGCATAAGCAGTAATTAAATACGCTGCTACTAATTAGCTGTAAGGAACAGCGTAGGTAAACTGCAGCCCTCTAGCTTTTAGGCCAGAATGACACTATAAAACGTATACTGGTATAACGACAGTGTTCGCACCCCTGATATGCTGACTTAACTCCTGGCGCTGATACCGCTGTGGCGACGGGGAGTGTGTGGGGGGTCTACCACCTCTCGCAGAGATGGATTAACTACATGGCTGGCAGAAGGGTCTCCTGTCAGCATAGTCATGTTTTCAAGACGCCCTGTAGTGGAGCAGCTGCATGGGTATGGCTGCATCCTTGTAGCATTTTAAATGTAGATGTGCCCTTAGATTTCAAGTGTTTTGTAAACATTATAGAAAGCGTTATAATAGCATTTCTCAAACTGGGGCAGGGGTGCCATTTCAGATTTTGGTTAGGGGGGGCTCACCTGAGCATACCATGAGGGGGAGGAGTCAGACTGAGGACAGCAACTTCAGCAGTGTTACTGAGCATGCGCAGTACAAGCCAAGCAGCAAATGGAGAATCCAGTTCATCCTCCCCACACATAAACCTATCATCTCTTTCTACGGCTACTAAGGCACTGTAAAACTCTAGGGCTACATCTACATTGCACATTCTTGTGCAAGAAGATATGCAAATGAGGCACGGCGATGAATATCGCAGCACCTCATTTGCAAACCTAATTAGCCGCATTTACCTAATGAGCAGCAGAATGGCTCTTGTGCAAGAGGGCTTTTTGCACAAGAAGGAGCAGTGTAGACTGCTCCTTCTTGTGCAAAAGCCCCTTGCGCAAAATGGTGGCACATTAGGTATGCAAATGAGGTGTGGCGATATTCATCTCTGTGCCTCATTTGCATATCTTCTTGCACAAGAATGCACAATGTAGACGTAGCCACGGTTTTTTTTGCAGATAACTTAGCAGGTAGCAACTCACTTAAGGCTAGCCTTAAAATTTTAATATATATTCTTATTTTGTTACTAACTCCGTGGAGAGAAAGAGAGAGAGACTGTCAGCACTCCTGGATCTATCCCAGCTCTGGAAGTGGCGTGGGGTCTAGTGCATTTCAGCAGGGGGCAGATACATTTGGGCTCTATATGAGATCAGAACGGCCATACTGGGTCAGACCAATGGTCCATCTAGCCCAGTATCCTGTCTGCTGACAGCGGCTAATGCCAGGTGCTTCAGAAGGCATGAACAGAAGAGGCAATCATCAAATGATTCATCCCCTATTACCCAGTCCCAGCGTCTGACAAACAAAAGCTAGGGACACCATCCCTTCCCATTCTGGCTAGTAGCCATTGATGGATCTGTCCTTCTTGAACTTACGTTGTTCTTACTGGAACCTTGTTATAGTCTGGGCCTTTCCACCATCTCTTGGCAATGAGTTCCACAGTTTGCCTGAAAAAATAAATAATATTCCCTTATTCTATTTTTCTACGCCATTCATAATTTTCTAGACATCGAACATATCCCCCCCCAGCTTTGAGTCATTTCTTTTCCAAGCTGGAAAGTCCCAATCTTGTTAATTTGTCTTCATATGGAAGCTGTTCCTTACCCCTAATCATTTCTGTTGCCCTTCTGTACTTTTTCCAAATCTAATGTATCTTTTTTAGATGGGATGACCAGCTCTGCATGCAGTATTCAAGATGTGGGCATACAATTATTTAAGACAGAAAATATCATATCGCCCCCATATAATTAGCTATTCCTTTCTTAAGTATTCCCAATATTGTTAGCTTTTTAGTTTTTAGCCTGCCACTGCACATTGAGCAAGTGTTTTCAGGTAACTGCCCATCATTTTTGTATGGGGAGCTGGGATTATATTTTTCCATGTGCATTACTTTGCATTTATCAACACTGAAGTCCATCTGTTTTTGTGTTGTCTAATCACCCAGTTTTGTGAGATTCCCTTTGTAATTCTTTGCAGTCAACTTTGGACTTAACTATTTTGAGTAATTTTGTAGTATCCGCAAATTTTGTCACCTGTTTACTTCTTTTTCAAGAACATTTATAAGTTTAACACTACTGGTCCAAATTCAAATTCCAGCAGCACAACACTCATACCTACTCTCCTCCCCTTTCACTCCCATCTTGATTCTTAATCACCTGCCTCCCTCTTTTTATAACAAACCCACTGACCCAAAGGCAAAGCTGGAAACAGTTGCATTTAAGAATGGCCTCTGGAGGCAGGGCATGCAGCTTTAAGCAGACCTCAAGTATGAAATCCAGTGGGTCAAACAAATGGGTACCTATCTACAAAGAGGGAATAAGGACAACCTAGAGGATTATAGACCAGTCGGCTTAATCTCAGTACCCCGGAAAACAATGGAGTAAATAATCAAACAATCAATCTGTAAATTCCTAGGAGTAAACAAAATTATAAGTAACAGCCAATATGGATTTTCATGAATAAATCATGTGAAACCAACATACTATCCTTCTTTGACAGGATAACAAACCTTGTGGATGGGGGAAAGTAGTAAGGATTAGGGATGTAAAATGCCTTTGAACCCCTTAACTGGTTAAACATTAGGTAGCATGCCACAACAGACAGATCTTGCACAGACTGGTTTGCTAGAGGCAAAGAGCTGCAGCAGCAATGTGTTAAAACCTGCATATCTTGTGCAAAACAGGATAGCAACAAACGAATACAAAGACCCACAACCGAGGAGAGATGCCTGCACACCTAATGCAAAAGCCTGCAGTTGCTAAAGGATGCATGCAAAGGCCTGCAGGCGTAAGGCAAAGAATTGCAGCAGAAGGTTGCAGGAAAAGACCTACATGTGACTAGTGCAAAGAGTTGCAGCTTCTGACGGATGCATTCATGCAAAGGCCTGAAGGTCTGGTGCAACTACCCGCAGCAGGAGACAGATGCTTGCAAGGACTGCAGGCCTAATGCAAACCCCCGCCGCAGGAGACAGAGCCAGAAAAAGGCCTGCAGGCCTAGCGCACGGAGCTGCACCCCCCAGCCCCGGCAGGCCTTCCCCGTGCAAACAGCTGCGACCAGCCTCACGGATTCAGGAGGCACGCGCCTGGCAGGCAGAGCGGCAGAAGCCCGCGCAGGACCGCGGCGCCCCAGTAGGTGTCGCTGGCGCCCGCAAACCCCCGCCGCAGGAGACAGAGCCAGAAAAAGGCCTGCAGGCCTAGCGCACGGAGCTGCACCCCCCAGCCCCGGCAGGCCTTCCCCGTGCAAACAGCTGCGACCAGCCTCACGGATTCAGGAGGCACGCGCCTGGCAGGCAGAGCGGCAGAAGCCCGCGCAGGACCGCGGCGCCCCAGTAGGTGTCGCTGGCGCCCAACCTTCGTTACGGGACTTTCTAGCCCGTGGGGGGGGCTCGGTGG